TATTGCAAGTGAAGGTATCTTTGTAATATATTGCTGTACCACCACCTTTTTTATTAGGCCTGCAGTTATGAATGGCTTTATAACCAGCTAAATTGTTGAGTTGGGTATAGTCATTACTTAGCCATGTTTCTGTTAAAATGATGAAAGATAATTTAGTACCTAGTGCTGTAAGAAGTGCATTTATATCATCAAAATGTTTACCAAGTGACCTAACATTTTGGTTGTAAACTGATAAGCATGTGCTATTTAGGAGTTTTTTTTTTGTTGCAAGATTTGCTGTGTAATACCTGCAATAACGATGATCAATGTGCTGATTTGTGTGGATATGGGACAGAAGATTTCGATCATGTTCATGTAATTGTGTATTCCCACTTGTAGATCGTTTATGTAGACAATGAACATTACCGGTGCAAGAACTGAACCCTGAGGTACTCCACTCGTGACATTCCTCCAATCCGATACCTTGCCTCTGATTATGGCCCTCATTTTTCTGTCAGTTAGGAAATTTTTCATCCATGTTAGTAGCTTACCTGTCACTCCTCCAATATGTTCCAGTTTCCAGAACAACCTCTTATGGGGAACTCTGTCGAAAGCCTTTTTTAGGTCCAGATAGATGCAGTCAACCCAACCATCTCTTTCCTGTAAAATCTCTGTGGCTCGATCATAAAAACTGAGCAAGTTCGTTACACAGGATCTTCCAGATCGAAAACCATACTGTCTGTCTGATATTATAGCGTTTTCCTCCAAGTGTTCTACCCATTTAGTTTTAATTATTTTTTCCAATATTTTGACTATTACACTTGTCAATGATACAGGTCTATAATTAAGGGGGTCTTCCCTGTTTCCACTTTTGTAGATTGGAACTATGTTAGCCTTTTTCCACACATCAGCTACAGCTCCTGTACACAGGGATGCCTGAAAAATCAGTTGAAGTGGAATGCTGAGCTCAGGTGCACATTCTCTCAGAACCCATGGTGAAACTCCATCTGGACCAACTGCTTTGTTCTTACTTAGCTCCTTGAGCATTTTTTCCACTTCATCTCTAGACACCTCTATGTGCTCTATGTTGTTCTCTGGAATTCTTATTGTATCTGGTTCCCTAAAGATTTCATTTTGTACAAACACACTTTGGAACTTTTCGTTTAGTGTTTCACACATTTCCTTTTCATCTTCCGTGAATCTATTTCCCATTTTCAACCTCTGAATATTATCCTTTACCTGCAATTTGTTGTTTATGAATTTATAGAATAGACCTGGTTCTGTTTTACATTTGTCTGCAATCCCTTTTTCAAAATTTCTTTCTGCCTCTCTCCTCACTGCCGTGTAGTTGTTTCTCGCATCTTTGTATCGCTGGTATGTTTGGGGGTTCGGCCTCTTCCTGTATTGATTCCATTTTTGTGTCTTTTGGTCTCTAGCCCTCTCGCAATTTCTATTGAACCAATCCTGTTTCCTAGTTCTGCATCTCTGTTTTGGTATAAATTTTTTTGTGCCTTTATCATATATTTCACAAAACTTGACATACATCTCATTCACTTCCTTGCCTAGCATCAAGTCTGTCCAATTATACTCACTAAAAAAATTTCTAAGGTCACCATAATGTCCTCTCCTGAAGTCTGGTTTTTCAACTGCTTCAACCTCCTTATTTTCTTCCAGCTTATGACGCATTGCATACTATATTCCCAAAAAGACATGGTCACTTTTACCCAAGGGAGGAAGGTACTGAATGTCAAATATCTCTTCCTCCTTCCTGGTAAATATCAAATCTAAGTGGAAATGTGTGCAAGCATCGGAGTGTGTATATATGAATGCTACACAGTATTCATCTATAGACATCCATATATGGTGAAACACATGTGAAGAACCTCTCACACACTCATAGCTCCCTGACAAGAGGGAGCCAGCTTAGCTTAGCTGCCAACACCCACATAAAGTGTAAGCAAGGCGGACAGCCCGCCTGCTTTCATACCTCTCACTGTATTTCCCACTTCTATACTTCCCTTCACCTATGCCTCTCCTTCCTCTTTCCAACCCCCCCCCCCCCCATAAAAAAAAAAAAAAAGCCCGTAGCAGCTGTCTAACTCCCAGGTAACTATTTACTACTAGGAAATAGGTGCATCAGGGGTAAGGAAACTATGCCCATTTGTTTTCCGCCGGCGCCGGGGATTGAATAAATCTAAAGCGCTGTCCACTCAACCACTGTGTGTGTGTGTGTGTGTAATTACCTAAGTGTAGTTACAGGATGAGAGCTACGCTCGTGGTGTCCTGTCGTCCCAGCACTCTTTGTCATATAACGCTGTGAAATTACTGACGGTTTTGGCCTCCACCACCTTCTCACCTAACTTCACTTTGTGGTTGTGACGGTTGGAACACTTGTTCCAACCGTCTACCACTCTGTTTACAAAAGTTAATTTTCTTATATTTCTCCGGCAGCTTTATTTCATTAGTTTAAATCTATGACCTCTTGTTCTTGAAGTTCCAGGTCTCAGGAATTTTTCCCTATCAATTTTATCGATTCCTGTTACTATTTTGTACGTAGTGATCATATCGCCTCTTATTCTTCTTCTATCTTCTAGTTTTTGCATATTTAATGCCTGTAACCTCTCCTCGTAGCTCTTGTCCTTCAGTTCTGGGAGCCACTTAGTGGCATGAATTTGCACCTTTTCCAGTTTGTTGATGTGCTTCTTAAGATATGGACACCATACAACCGCTGCATATTCCAGCTTTGGTCTAACAAAAGTCGTGAACAATTTCTTTAGTATTTCGCCATCCATGTATTTAAAAGCAATTCTGAAGTTAGAAAGTGTAGCATAGGCTCCTCACACAATGTTCTTAATATGGTCCACAGGCGACAGTTTTCTATCTAGAACCACCCCTAGATCCCTTTCTTTATCAGAATTCTTTAAAGATTTCTCACCTAATTTATAGGTTTTGTGGGGTCTATGTTCTCCAATTCCACATTCCATGAAGTGGAATGCTCAATCAGAACTGAGGCTACCCTCGGGCCTGGGGCATTCTGGGATTTTTTTTCAAAATGGCCGCTGCTCACTGATGGCCTCAGGCATCCATCTCGTACACAGCCAACCGCGCGGGCGCTTTTTGAATGGGTACCAAAAAATCAAAGAGAGTTTTCTCAGTTGGCGCAGTTTCTCACTGACCGAAAATACTCGGTTGGTGCAGTTCAGTGGTTAAGGGTTAAGCATTTACATTTTTTTTTTCTTTTATAGTGTCGTCTGTGTACTCTTTCTACATTGGACCTCTTTCTGGCTTTCCTCAAAGGAACATGTTTCAGACAGACTTGATATGCTTACGAAGTCAGTTTTTCTATTCCTTCTGTAGAATTTTTATTACTTGGAACAGTTTCCCCATTGAATGTTTGTAAGTTCCTTGTTTATTTTCTCCCAGTCTATCCTTCTATTATTAAAATTGAATTTATTGAATAATCCCTCTCGCTTGATCATTGTTTTAGATCTATTCTGAGCATTGATGGTCTATTGCACTTCAATTAGCTTGTGATCTGAGTGCTGTATATGGTATCTGATAACATAATGTCGCTGATTGTTTGTAAAGACCTGATCAAGAATATTGTTGTTTCTCGTTGACTCAGATATCTTGACTGATATCTGTTGGCTGAATGAAAATTTGTCAAAGAATCTAAGCAGTTCTCTACTCCGTGGTTGGCTGTGTTTTGATAGATTTCCTGGTATAATATTATTGTTTGCTATATCTGATGTTGAAGCTTGTTGATGATTCTATATGTTGAAGCATTTGGGTCAATATGTGATGAGTCAGGTGCAGGTGGTGCAATGTGAGATTTCTTCAAAGTCTTTGCAAAAGACTTAATTGATAATATTTGTTTCATTCCCTTCGCTCTTATTTTAAAAAACGTCATATAGTGTACAATACAAATTACCCATTTCTCCCTCACTACCTCTGTCCCTCATTGCCTCCCTCCCTCTTACCTTCACTTCCTCTCTCCCTCCCACCTTCACTTCCTCCCTCCCTCCCTCCCTCCTATCTTCACTGCATCCCTCCTGCCACAAGAGCCACTTCTGGTAGGTGGTTAGCTCAGTAGATTGCCAGCCAGAGATAGCCTGGAGGGTTTCCATCTAATACAATAAAGCATTCATGAAACAAGTATTTTTTACCATTTTATTATCCTAATAATATTACTAAACAAAATCTGTACCAAAAATTTATATGATGTACATCCAGAATTTAAGAAACCAATCTGGCTAACGGGGTCGAGTGTGATAGGCGTATCGGACTGAGCCCGTCCCTCCCCAATCACCAACAGACCTTCCCCACCACCCTTCATCCCATACACGCACACTGCTCCCAAACTTGAGTAATCGAACCAACCCCAATTGTGAAACTGCAAGTTTCGGATAACTTACATTTGCAAAGTATGTGGCTGTCTGTAAATCTGCCAAAAATATTCAATAAATGTTTAAGTACATCAGTTAAAATGATGTACCACCAGAAATGTTAGTCAAGTATCCAACACTTGTTTACTGCAGATTGTAAAACTGCCTCTCAGTTGGCTGGGTGTATGGAGCATTTATTAGCAGCTGTGTATCTGACTCACCACAGATGTAAGCTACCTTGTATAGTGACTGTTGTGGTTCACGTTTTTGAACTACATGTGAAAAATAAAGACACTTCACATGTGTATGTATATTTATGTATATACATGTGAATGCATAGCATGTATATGTATTAAAATTGTGTAACTAGCTTCATAATTTAAAGATTCATTTGGCTAAACAAGTTGTAACTTGCTTAGACAAATGAACTATGGGGGTTCAGTCCCTGAGCCCATTATATGCATCTGCAACCCTTTCAGCCTCCAAAAACATGATGGGTATGGGTTAATAATAAACTACTATAATCATTTATTTCAGATACTATGCAGTGAACAGAGTTCATTACAGCTGGAGTGTAGTATTCAAGAGTCTCATTGAATCCTGATCAGCACAAAGTATACAAAAACTGCCACTAACCTGACAAGCTGTGTGTGTGCCCCCTCAACACACCAAGATGACTTCATAGATCGAACATCCCATGCTCGAACACTGGAGCCATGAGTAGCAGCAATTTGAGATCCTAGTTGGTGAGGATACCAGCGGCCAGTACCTAAACTTACACTGCCGCGGCCTTCTACTGTAGCTTCTCCAACCAGCTGCAGTTGTAGTAGAGGTGAAAATATATTAACTTTTTTATTCTTTAAATGTTGATGTACATTTTGCACCATTTTTTTTAATCTTCATGAAAATGTTTGCTTTATATAATTATCTTGAGGTTATCTTGAGATGATTTCGAGGTTTTAGTGTCCCCGTGGCCCGGTCCTCGACCAGACCTCCACCCCCAGGAAGCAGCCCATGACAGCTGACCAACACCCAGGTACCTATTTTACTGCTAGGTAACAGGGGCATAGGGTGAAAGAAACTCTGCCCATTGTTTCTCGCCAGCACCTGGGATCGAACCCAGGACCACAGGATCACAAGTCCAGCGTGCTGTCCGCTCGGCCGACCGGCACCCCATTGTAGATCAGTAGATTTTTACAGTAAATTGTAGATCATAAAAGTCCAAAGAGGCAACATGATATATCTGAAAGTTCAATTATTTACAATATATTGTATTTCATCAAAAGAAAAGTAAATGATATACTTTCATTGACTAGTAATTATATATAGTGGGGCCTCAATTTACGATGGTAATCCGTTCCCAGAGACGTATCGTAAGTCGAAATATCATAAGGCGAAACGAATTTTCCCATAAGCAATAATGGTAATTGAATTAATCCGTTCCACGCCCCCAAAAATATTAACTTAAAAATACATTTTATACTGAATAATTCTCTAACTACAATACAATACATATGTTTATCTTACCTTTATGGAAGACTCTTAATGGCGTATGGAAGATGGTGATGAGGGGGGAGGAGGAGAGGTGTTAGTGCTTGGAAGAGTAACTTCCATTATAACATCAAGCAGTGATGACTTCTCTGGGGTACACACACTCCTACATTTTGCCTGCATACCACTAGGACTTGGTTGTGGTTCACTCCTTGTTTGTCTCACTAAAAATTTGTCTAGTGACACTTTGCTTTGCTTTGATGTCCAAAGGGATTGGAAAGGATGGGGGAGGTAGAGGGATGGGGAGATGAAATTCAGGAAGAGGATGCGGGTGTAGAGAGAGAGGAGGTTTGAAAGTTCGGTGGCCTGTCCACCATGGGTTGACATATGTGTATGTGTCGTTTGTTTGCGTATGTGTTATGTTGGGTTGTCAGTACATTGGCTGGGGAGGCTAGTGTTTGTGACCTTGTTGGTGTCCCAAAGCACTAGAGCTGATGGAGTTGGCTGAAGGAGGTTAATCTTAGCAACATCAGGGTAGTTACACTTCTGATAGCACGACAAAGGGTTTTATGGTTTTATATTTTTTTTGTAGTAGTTTTATTTATTTATTTATTTTTTTATTTATTTATTATTTTTTTTTATTTTTATTTTTATTTTTATTTTTTTTTTTATTTATTTTCTTTATTCTTCATTTGGTGTGGATCGGGTCTGGGATGGGCCACTCATCTGGGTCGTCTGGCAGGCCGCTTAGTATTTGAGGTCTTGGGAAGGCCTGATCATGGATGTGTCTGATCACTTTTTGCTGGAGTGATTCTTCTGGTTGTGTGTGGTGGTTCGTGGATCTTGTAGTCACTGGTGGTGTTTACTGCTACGTAGGGATCTTCGGGGTCTGGGACATACATGTTCTTCATGCGGTACAGCTGTCTTCTGGCCAGGTAGCTGAGCCTGATGTTCATTGGCTTCATGTTGAGCATCTCATGGATTTGGTCAGTTCTTACCCTGTCCATCAGTGTCAGGCCCTCCGCAAAGCAAAGTGCTTTATTTTGTACCCGTTGGATCTTCAGCATGTTGGATTTGTTGGTGAGGTTCAGGGGGACGTAAGGGTATTCCAGGCTAGGCCTTATGCTTACTCTGTACAGGTGGAGCTTGATGTGGGATGGGGCTTGCTTGAAATGGAAGAGCCTCGCCAGTGAACCCCGGGCCAACACTGTCTTCTGGGATACGAACTGGGAGGAGTTGAGTAGCCTGTTGAAGTTGTATCCGAGCACTGTGTTGGAGTTTGAGATGGCTATGGGTTCACCCCTGATTCTTATCCCCCCCTCATTTTCGATTGAGAAGGCCATACAGCCGACAGTGCTTAATTGGATCTTTTCTGGGTTAGTGGTGATCCTCCATTTCCTTTCCCAGTTAGCAGTCCTGGCTAGTTCTACGTTTGCCTTACAGGTTACAGTTGCATGCTTGGCCGCTTGGCTGCTTGGGTTAGATGTTATTATGTGTGTTACGTCGTCCGCAAATTGCACGATAATGGTGTCCCTATACTCTGGTTGGGGCAGGTCGTTTACAAAGATGTTGAAGAGAACCGGGCTCAAGCATGATCCTTGGGGGACTCCAGCTGTTGGGGTGAAGGCTGCGGCCTCTTTCGCCTTGAAGCTGGGGGTAACTTGCCTATTCTTTAGGAAATTTCTGATCAGCCGGAGGAGGGTCCAGTTTTGTGCTGGTAAGTCTGCTAATTTGTACACAAGACCATCGTGCCATAGGCTGTCGAAGGCCTTGTGTACGTCCCTCGTCGCAATCAAAGCTACCTGTTTTTGCTTGCGAATTGAGCTTACGACGTCGTAGACGATGTTTATTGCATGCTGGGTTGATCTATGTGCTCAAAAGCCAAACTGTTTTTCTGTGAAGAGGTTGTTGTACTCCATGTAGTAGTTAAGATGGTTTGACATGATTTTTTCAAAGCACTTGCCTATTGTGTCTAAGAGGGAGATTGGACGGTAGTTGCCAGGTTGGTGGGGGTCTTTCTTGGGTTTGGGAATGAATATCATCTTGGCCACTTGAATGCTACAGGGATGTGACCCGATGCCAGCATAGCGTTGAATAGGTTGAGTAGGGATTGCAGAAGATTGCCTGGTAGAAGTTTGATCTGCAGCGCTTTGATCCCCGATGGTCCTGGGGCCTTATCTCTGTTGCTTTTGATGACTCCTCTCATCTCTAACATAGTTATGGGTCTTGTTAGAGGGTGGTCATCTTCTAGGGTTGTCAGGTCTATCAGAGGGGTGCTGTGAAGGGAGGCGACGTTTTCTGTTGTCCATTGGTTGACACGTTCAAAGTGAGTGTTGTTGAAGGCTCTGCTGTTTGAAGCCGTGAGAGTCTTTTTCCATACTGCGCCCATGAGGTCAGCCTGGTCTTGCGGGTCTTCTATTTTTTCTTGTTGCTTCTCGTCATCTTCGTCAAGGAATGTGTGTACGAGGTAGGTGAGGCTGGGGTTAACCGATCCCAAGAGCTGTCTGATCTTGCGTCAGAAAGCTCCCGGTTCACCTTTTGTACTGGTTGACCTGCCTCACAAGGGTTCCCCATATGTAGCTCTTGTGAGTCATAGTGACACTTGTTTTTTCCTTCGTTTTAACATTTGTCTGTAGTGATGCATCACAATGTCATTGAAAAGGTTAAGGCAACGGCCTACTGCAGCTTGATTGGGTGAGTCGTTTCAGCAAAAGTTTGCAGTTCTTCTCATGCTGCACACATTTTCTTAATTTTTGAGGAAGGAACATTCTCTACTGCCTCCTCCTTCCCTGAAGAAATTTCCTCAGCTACCTCTTGTTGCTGTGCCTTGTGAAGGGCTTGCAGTTTTTCGGTGGTCAGTTCTTCGCTTTGTTTCTCCACCAACTCCTCAATATCAGCACCATCCAATTCCAAATCCAATTGCCAGCCCAGAAAAACAATTTCCTCAACAAGAGGCACTTCAAGTTCCGGCTCAAACCCTTTAAAGTCTCATCCTGCAACACATTCAGGCCACAATTTTCTCCAGCCAGATATCATGGTTCTTAAGAGTCATTTCTTGCCAGGCTTTTTCTGAGTTTTAAAGCACTACAAATGTTAAAATGGTTTTTCCAGAACTCTTTGACGGTGAGGTTTGTGGCATCGGTCACTTTGACACATCTCCGAAAAAGTGCCCTTTCATAAAGTTTCTTAAATTTGGCAACGATTTTCTGGTCCATAGGCTGAAGTAGAGGAGTGGTGTTGGGAGGAAGGAACTTTACTGTAACAAAACTAAATTTCTCAATGAATCCTCCCCGCCTGGAAGATGGGCAGGAGCATTGTCAAGAAGAAGCTGGGCCTTGAGTGGCAAACTTTTCTCCTGCAGATATTTTTTGATGGAAGGGCAAACCACTTCATTTATCCACTCAGTAAAAAATTGCCTCGTCACCCATGCCTTAGCATTAGCCCTCCAAATCACACACAGTTTGTTTTTCTGCACATTATATTTCTTGAAAGCCCTTGGATTTTCGGAATGATACACAAGCAAGGGTTTAATTTTCAAATTGTCATTCACATTACCACACAGCACAAGAGTAAACCAATCTTTCATGGGCTTGTGTTCGGGCAATGACTTCTCCTCCTTGGTAATGAATGTCTTCTTTGGCAATCTTTTCCAGAATAGCCCTGTCTCATCACAATTGAACACTTGTTGTGGTAGGTATGCCTCACTCTGCACAAAATCTTTAGATTCGCCAATAAATCTTTCAGCCACTGGTTTGTCAGAGCTGGCACCCTCCCGATGCCTCACAACACTGCCCGAAACGCTGCGCGTACTAGTGGCTTTACAAGATTGTAATTACTATGCTATGTATCCTCAATCCCAATGTACCTTTTTGTATATACACTAAATAAATAAATAAATAAATAACACTATGAATGCCACTTCTTTTTCTAAATTTCTCAAACCATCCTCTGCTCGCCTTAAAATATTTCGTATTTGCATCACTCGTTCCAGGGGGTTTCTTTATAAGGTCTTCATGCAATTTCCTTGCTTTTTCACAAATGATGGCCAATGAAATTCTATCAGCTGCTAACTCCTTGCTGTGTATCCAAATTAATAATTACTGTTCAAACTGTTTAACATCCTCAAGTGTTTGTGTTCTGTGTTTCGTGATTATTGATATGCCTTTTGCTACTTTAGCACTCATAATGTTCATTTTCTAAGCAACTATGGTGAATATCGTTGTCTGAAATTTGTTGTATTGCCTAACTAGTTTAGCAACCCGCACACCATCTTCATGTTTACGAATGATCTCTTGCTTTTCCTTTATGGTCATCCTCACATGTGTTTTCATATTTTGAACCTTACCACTGACTTTCTTCGGACCCATGGCGTGATATATAATAATCAGTTTTATTTAAAAAAAAAAAAAAA